CCCAAACGGGGGGGGGGGGGGGGGTGTTGCGGCAAAGGGCCCACCTTGGTGTGTGACATGCTGTGTTGCTGCTCCTGCGCTTGGCACTGCTTGTGCCCACGCCTGGTGCAATGCGTCAACACAATCGCTCAAGTCAGGTGCTGCTCAGCAGGCAGCCTGCCTGCCCTAGGAAGCCGTCAAGCCCACCTGTGCGTGATCCAGTTCCTGGGCAAGGCGCTCCAGGCGCGACCCCAGATCCAAGAACGCCACCTCCTCAGAAACTTCAAACATGGTGGCGGGGGACAAGGGCATCCGACGTGGGAGGGTTGTGGCCCTCCTCCTTGCTCTGTGCCTATCGTCACCAACCTCGACAGGCCCTATGCACCACTCATTTCGCCCTATCTGAGTGACGCAAGCAACGTACACTTGCAAACAGCATCAACCACCCCTGCCTGCCACAGTATGCAACCCAGATCTGCCCCACCCTTGAAGTCCGCCACCGACGCCGCCAGGTCACTCCTCAGGGCAGCCACCTCCACCCTGACATCAGCGGCCTCCCTCGCCGCCCCCGCCGCCTCGCCGGCCGCTGCGGCTGCCGCCGCCGCCGCCTCGGACCTCGCCGCGGCGAGCGCCGCCCGCGCGCGCTCCGCGGCCGCCTCGGACGCCGCGCGGGCGGCCGCGACCTCGGAGCGCACTTCGGCGTCGCCGTCCTCGGCTGCGCGCCTTGCGGAGGCGAGGGTCGCCTCTGCCGCGGCCCTTGTCGCCTCGACTTCCCGTTCCAGGCGCTCCGCCAAATTACGCGCGGCGGCGGCCGTATCGTCGACGCGGCGCGAGAGGCCCTCCTCGCACAAGGCGAGCGCCGCCGCGGCGGCGGTGGCGCGGGCGTGCAGGTCGTCTGTGCGCGTGCGTAGCTGGGTCACCACCTCGGATTGAACCTGGTGGCGGTCAGCAGTATTGGGTAAAAACCACATCAAGTCAAGTTGTGCAAACCCATTTGGGTACCCTTTTTGACGCGCAGGAGCACGCATGCCAAGCGCACAACAGCCGCGTTAAGAAAAAAGCCAGAGAGGGCGCCTGGGGCGCCGTTGCCCCAGGTGGGGGCGTAGCTCACCGTTTGGGCCTGGTCAACGTGGTCAACGTCTGACCTTAGCCGCGCAGCACCCTCCTGAAGGCGCCGCAGCTCGCCCTCTGCTGCGCTGACGTGCGCCTCCAGCTGCGCGGCGGGTGACGCGGCAGGGCGGCGACCATGACAATGCAGGCACGCGCGGAGGGAGTGCTAGGCGTTGAACTCAGTGACGCCTCGAAGCGCGGCAGCTGGCGGAGTTAAGGGGAGTGCCTTCAGCTGGCCCGGCAAAGTCGGCACGCACCTGGTTGTCAAGCGAGGCCGCAGCAATGGGCATATGCGCACCTTGGCCTCGACGGTGCTCATCTTCTCAGCCGCCGCCCTGCCGCCCGCCTCGGCAGCCGCCGCCGCCTGCGCGATGCGCGCCTCGAGGTCAGCCCTGATGCCGCATGCCTCGGCCGCCGCCGCCGCGCGGCACTGGGCCGCCTCAACGCGCGCAGCTTCCAGGCAGCTGCCTGTTGCCTCTGCGACTTCCTGTCGCAGCAGCTCCTCTGAAAGCTTCGAATCCACCTGGTTCAGACACACGCGCGAGGGAGTGATAACGCAATGGGCGGGCAGAAAACCAAACGACTGGCGAGCGCATGCCGGCGCGGCAGCATCTATCAACGGCACCAGAGTGCACATGCGTGGTTGAGCAGACAGACGACAATTGGTGTGCGCGGTTAGCGCATGCATCCTGTTGCAAAAGTATCTCGCAGCAAGATATCCGATGAGTCCACTGGGACCCCACCTGATTGGCGTCGAACCAGGCCTTTAGCTGCGCCAGCTGCGCGCGCGACTCCGCCGCCTCAGCCGCCGCGCGCGTTGCTGCCTCTGCCTGCCGCGCCTCGAGCTGCCGCAGGCCCTCGGCTAGCCGCAAGAGCGCGGGGCCGGTGGCGGATTCATGGCGGTCTTGCAGGGCGCGGTGGGCCTGCGCGCATGTGAGGCAGGAGCGTGATTGCAGATCAGCATATGCAACTCTTGGTTTGGTCTCTGTGAGGCTCGCCCACTTCGCTTGGTTTGGCGGCAGCAGCAGCAGCAGCAGCAGCAGCAGCAGCAGCAGCAGCAACTTTGCGTGTGAATGCATCGGCACCTGGTCGAGGGCCTTGTAGCTTCCACCCAGCTGCTCATGCTGGCCCCGCAGCTTCCGGTGAGCGTCCAAGAGGAGCTCCAGCTGCGGTGAATGTAAAACCGCAGAGTGCGGCGGGATTGTTGGTGTTAGTGAGGACACAGATCCAGCACAGCTGACACATCATACGTCGCAAGGAAGCGCTGTAAATGGCGGCTCTGCTCATGGTGGAGGAGATCACCCACACGATGGTGCATCATTCAGAACAAGCACTTGAGAAGCTCGCCTTTTGCTCGACCGCCGCTACCAGCCCGGCCTGGCGCTCCTCGGTGGCGCGGAGGTCCGAGGCAGCTGCCGAGAAGCCGCCAGACAGCAGGTCCCGCAGGGCAGAGTCGGAGCCAATGCGAGCCTGCGCGAGGTGACAGATGCGTGAAGTTGACAAATCACTGATCCCCACAGTTCGAGGGGCTCAACGCCGATAGATCTAAGTCATGCCCGTCTCCCCTCCACACCCTGAACCCCAAGGCGGGTCTGTGGAGTGCTGCCACGCACGGCCCCAAGTGGCACGGGCGCGTCGAAGCCGTTTGACCACGTTTGACCAGAGCTTTGGCCCCCCGCCAACCAACCAGCAGCCCTGCGATTCACCTGGATCTCTTTGACCACCACGCTTTCCAGGTTGACCCGCTCCCGGTCCAGAGCCTCCTGTGGCAGGTTGCACATCATTTGGCGCTTTTTCAACGAAATGTTTTTATGATCATAACGCGCCATGTGCGATCAGCGAAGCCAGCACGGGCGGCCCCGGCCGAGCAGACTCGCTCTTTGTCTATCCCAATCGAGCGCGAAATCTGGCCTGGCGATGCGACAGGGCTGCAGCGCCCGTAGCCGCTGCTGCCCTGTGCCGCAGTCGTCCATCGACCCACCGCCAGCCCTGACCCACAAAACCCTGCGCTCAGCCGACGCCGCCGCGCCCACGCCGCACCTCGATGTCCCTGGCGTACGCTCTGAGCCTCTTGAGCGCGGCGCCCACGCCCTCGCGCAGCGCCGCCTCCCGTTGCTCTGTGCTGTCGCGCGCCGCCGCCACCGCCGCCGCCAGCTGGTCCAGGCCTGCGTTGGATTACAGAGGTGCTTTTGCATTGATTGCATGTGCAGCAGTGCCGCGGCGGTGCTAAGTACTTCGCTGGGCGCCTTTCAACATAAGGCTTTATACAATCAAGGTCGTGACGGTGGAGTGCTGCCTCATAATCCCTGGCTGCGGCGGCCCGCCGGACCTGACAGGGCCTGTGAGTGACAGGCCTTCCGCCTGCACCGCGCTCAGCTCAAGCGCAGTGCGGATCCTGCGCTGGTGCTGAGTGCGGTCCCCACCCCACCCCACCCCTCCTAGCATGTGAGCACCAGGGGATGGGCCCCGCCCCGCGCACCTCGCTGCATATCTGAGGCCAGCTGCGCCTGCGCCGCCCCGCCGGCGGCCGCCACCTCTGAGAGCGCCCCCTCCAGCACAGCCAGTCTCTCCAGGCCCAACTAAAGTTGGCGGGGTAGGGACAGGCATGCGGGGGGGGGGGGGCGGTGCTGTTTCCTGTACATTGCTTGGTACAAACAGCCGCAAGCCGGTTGATCCTCCCCACGCTCCGCCCTGGCATTGACCGAGTCAAACCACCAGGCGGCATTGATGTAGATCATCCCTGCCCCGCCCCCACCTTCTCCTGCCGGAGGCTCGCGGCCGCCAGCGCGCCCATTGCGGCCTCGCCCGCACGCCTGCGCGGCGCCAGGCACGGCAGGGCGACCGCACTCGATTGGGAGCCTGGCGCTGCTCACTTGATGCTCCAGGCTGCTGGCTCGAGGCTGCTCCCTCCTCGGCTGCTGACCGAGTGCTACTTCTCATACGGCTGTCCCCAATAGGCTGTTCCCTACAGGCTAATCCTGAGGGCTGCTTCCTCGAGGCTTGTCCGCGTTTGCTGTCCCCTGGTAAACAAAACATATCCAAAGCTGCCTCGCAGCAACAGCAGCACGGCGGCGGCGCCACCGCCCAGCCACCGGCCCAGCTGCATGACATCCCCCCCCGCCCCGGCGCACCTGCTGGCCTCGTCCCTCTGAGAGCTGCGGGCGTCCAGCGCCGCCAGCGCCCCCGCAGCCTCGGCTGCGCGGCTCTCCAGCATGCCGGCGCAGCGGCGCAGCAGCTGCTGCTCGCTCTCTGCGACCTGTCGGTGCCGTGATCAATCATCAGCACACTTGTGTGCGTGTGTGCGCTTGTCCTTATGTGCATGTGCGCACATGTGTGGGTGTATGTGTGCGTGTGGGTGCGTGTGTGTGCGTGTGTGTACGTGTGTGTGTGTGTTTGTGTGTGCGTGCGTGTGTGTGTGTGATGTTTGTGGGTGTGTATGTGTGTGTGTGTGTGAGTGTGTGTGTGTGTGTGTGTAAAGTTTGAGGCACAAAGCAGCCAGCGCTGACAGGCCGCCCAAACAGCTGCCTGTCATATGGACATTGTTGATGAGAAGCAGGATTTCCAGGGGCAATCATTACTCACATGCCTGCAGAGGCGTTTGTATTATTCCCATGCCAGCCCGAGGCGCCACTGCCATGCCGGCAGGCCCACCTGCTGCCGCAGCGCCCTCTCGCGCGCCTCAGCTGCCGCCGCCTCCAGGCGCCGCGCCGCCTGCTCGGCTTGGAGCTGCGGGGCGCGCACGGGCGGCCGTAGGGGGCCAGCTCCGTGGGTGTTCATCACAACAGCATTGAAAAGTGCTTCTGAGCAGTGACAGGATGCACCTTGACGCCTGCTCTTGTCGCAACGCGTGTGACTGCGACCGCGCGCCACTCGACGTGCAACCGATGCTCCTCGCCAGCCGCCCATGGTTGCTTTTGTGACGGGTGCAAGCCTCCTCGGCACCCAGGCAGCCCACCTGCGAGTGCAGCCCCTGGACGGCCGCCGCAAGCTCCCCCAGCCGCCCCCTGACGCCGCCGAGCGCCGCGGCCCCCTCCTGCGCCGTCGCCGCAGCGCCCTGGCGCAGCACCTCCGCCTGCGGCGGACGGCGGTGGGGTCGCAAACCATGTGTGGCCACAGATGCGCCAAGATAATGGGAGGGAGTATTCCGCACAGCAACAAAATGATAAATACTCTTGAGACCCCTCCCATGGTAGGTCCCCTGGAGTCCAAACAGAGCAACATTCGGCCGGCCGCACCTCCGCGCCCTCCGCCGCGAGCTGCGCCTGCACCCTAGACACCGCCGCGCGGAGGGCCGCCCCCGCGGCCGCCGCCTCGGTCCTGCGGGTGGTGTGCCCGTGCGGCCCGTGGCGGGGTCCCTGAGCTCATGGGGGCCTCGCGAAGGGGGATAAAATGCAGGTTTTGAAGCAGCAACTGCGGCAACCCCACCCTGTTTGACCCATCGCTCCGTTTGACCCCTTCTCAGACGACCCTGGAAGGGGCTGCCAGCAACTGCATTACTTCATCGGACTTCGAATGCTGCAGCAGTGTATGCTCGGGGTGTGTGGGTGGCTGTCACACCCAGGGGGGTTGAGGGGGCGCCCACCTGTAGCCTTCGACCTCGCCCGCCAGGGTAGACATGTCGCTCAGCAGCGCCGCCTGCGCGCGACGGCCGCACTTTTGGACGCGAGCTGGCGCGCCCCGCCGCACGCCGTGCGGCACCCGCGCCTTCCAACGCTCCTTTGGAACCACTCCCGCTTGCAGGCACCCGACGTTTGAATCGTCGGTCATCCTACAGCACCCGTGCGTTCACCTGGACCAGCCCAAACACAAAAGCCCCGCCCAAAGGCCTGCCCGCCGCACCTGCTGCTGCCGCACCTCCCCTCGCACGTCGCCCAGGCCCTCGCCGCGGCGGCGCGCCTCCTCCGCGGCCGCGCGCTGCAGCTGCTCGAGGGCCGCCTTGTCGGCCGCGCGCTCTGCTCGTAGGCTGTGTTAGGGGGCAGAAAGGGGATGCAGCGCGCAGGCGGCTGGGGCGGGTGTCAGCGATGCGACTTTGCTGGGAGGCGGCTGCCAGGTGCTGCAACTCCTCCAGCCCGATTCAACAGAAAAGTAGCCAGCAGCCAATCCTTTGCAATCCCTCAACAATGGCAGCGCGTGCCTCCATTTGCGTGCCCGCATGTACTCACACCAACACCCCCTGTCACGCTCACACATATGCCCCGGCGCACAACCCCATCCCTCCAAGTGACAGCCCTAGCACGATGCCCACGTGTGCGCATACCTACGCCGGGACAGCACACAACCCAATCCTCTCCCCCCAGGTTGCCAGGCCCGCCCAACTCACCCGACCAGCTGCTCCGCCAGAGCCAACACTTGGCCCCGCAGTTCACCGCCCGCCCTACCGCCCTCCGCCGCCGCGCCCCGCGCCTCCGCCAGCCGCCCCTCCAACTTCCGCACCTCACCAGACACGCCCGCAAGCTGCTGAGTCAGCGCAGCCGTCGCCGTGGAAGCCGCGTCGCGGCTTCCCCTCAGGTCCCCAAGCTCCGCCGCCGCGCGCGCCACCTCAGCGGCGAGGGCGTTGATCCGCCCCTGCTGCAGGTGCGCTGCGTGCGCGGCCTCTGCGGCGGCGCGCTCGGCCGCTGCGGCGCGCGCGTCCGTGGCGGCTGCTGTGGCCGCGAGCTGCGCACGGTCGCTGTCGCGGTCCTGTGATTCGTGGGTGTGGTGCCACAGCTTGGGCGGCTGCTGCTGCTGCTGCTGCTGCTGCTGCTGCTGCTGCTGCTGCTGCTGCTGCACCTGCAAACTGCCATGACTGCCGCTGCCCACGGGGCTGCCTGGCAGGTTCAGGGACTGCAGCAGCCGTATTGGCGACGCCGGCTGCAGCTGCAGGGGGCCCGACGCCTGCAGCTGCCGGGCAGCTCCTAGCGGCGCCGCCGGCGAGTCGGCAAACGCACCGCCTGGCTTCGGTCGGTCCGGGGATGCGAGGACGCCGCCTGCAGCGGGCCATAGCTGGTCCCACTGGCCGCCGCTCGCTGCTTGGTGCGAAGCGGGCGCGTCCAACGGCGGCAGAAGCTTCCCAGCTGCGCCGCTGCCACTGCCATGCGTCCTGAGCGCCATGTCTGGCGGGGTGCCCCATGCAGGCCTTGGGGAGAAAGGCGGCGCCGCAGTCGCCGCGTGCTGCAGCGGCGGCGGCGTCCGCTGCAGCTGGCGGCGCGCGGCAGGTGCGGCTGCGGCATCCAACCCCGGCTCCCAAGCGTGGGAGTCGCGCTGCATCGCCCCATGGTCGCTGCTGCGTGCCACCACCAGCACCTGGGAGCCCCCATGCAGGGCTGGCAGCGGAAGGCTGGGGTGGCTGGGCTGCGGCAGCTGCTGAGGGGCGACGGAGGGGGGCAGCTGCTGCTGGGTTCCGTGCCGCGGATCCCGCCGAGGCGGCGGGGGTGTGGGCGGCGCTGCAGGATGGGGCGGCCAAGTGGGCAATGCGGGACGCTTTCAGGGAGGGGGTGGCGGCGCCTGCGCGCGGCTGACGCACCACGGCAGAGCGAACCGTCGACGCGTGCTTGCGGCACAAGGCTTGGTCGTGTATCAGGCACCTCCATGCAGAACCTTCCACGCTTCGGTAGTCGCGGGGTAGCGATGCGGGCTTCCGCCCATTTGCAGCAAGTTGCGCACGCGAGCACGCTCGGCGCAGGGCGCAGCCGCTCTGCCAGAATCCGATCCACTCCAAGTTTCAGCTCCTACGATACTCTACACAGCTGTGACATAGCGCTGCTTGAAGGGTGGAATGAAGGTCCATCAATGTGATGTCCGATGCTATTCGCGCTAACTGCGTTCCAGAAAGATATTCCAAAGATGATTGATGAATTACATGCGGCGCAATCACACAAGATCGTGATCCGCAAATTTGCCGATGGATCCCAAAATGACACGAGTGTCTCCGCCGCTACTGCGGTACCTCAGACCCGTACAAATTTGTTTTTTGTACGTTATTTCGTCTCTTCAGCTGTCAGAGATTGAGATGATGGTTTCGCCAGCAACAAATCTTGTTGACCAGAGTTGACCAAGCCTTTGTAAACGCTTAAACTGGCATGAACAATGACTGGACTCAAACACGTACGCTGTGGGGGCGCTTTGCTGCAGCAGCAGGCCTAGCCGTCGATGCCACCATACAGATTTACAGCAAGGCAAACCCCCAAGCTCACAACAGCACAGGGGCAGGGCAGCAGCCAGTTCACGAGCAAGCTACAGGGGCGTCACGTAGCATTTTGGGAAACAGCAGACTTATATGATAAGAGAATCGAGAAAAATTGCCCACCCCTGCAGCATGCAGCTCGGACCGGCCACCGCATATCCACCTGCGTGCGGACGAATCCACCACCAACTGCACATCAGGGAGGGGGGCATGCAAACCCACTTGCGCGCGTCTATAATTGATTGCCCTGATGCCCTTTGCAAGAGGCACGGACAGCAGGCAGGAGGCAGCTGCGGCAGGAGGCAGCCGCAGCAGGCGGCCTGCAATCAAGAAAGTCAGCGGCACCGTGCAAAGAAAGACTCGCTCCGTGCGCACAGCAAGCAAGAGCAGCGGATGAGGCCAGCACAAGTCACTGAGACGGAGGAGCAGAGAGGACGGACTCCGCAATCTAGGCGGGGCCCAAAGAACGGCCCGCGCGGGGGTGCACCCCCGCTTCCTGCCAAGGCACCCTGTGCTGGCGCCCCCGACAAAAGCTGTCACAACGCGCTCGCCCAGTTCCCCTGTGGTTTCCTAGGTTGATACGCAATGCCATGCCCGTGCGCCCGCCCGGGTTTGGTGCGCCGCCCATGGGCGCGCGAAATTGGGATAGACTAAATGAGGTGTCGTGTGCAGCAATCCTCGGAGACATCCGAAGGACAGCACATCAAGTCCGTTTTGGGCTGCCATGGGGAGCCGAGCGGACAGGCAAGCAGCAAAGAGGTGTGGACAGTCCAAAGCCCCTCGCCAGGCGGGGGGAATGCGCGCGGCCATTCGTGCCAGCCGCTTCAAGACAAGTCGCCGTCAGAGGGTGCAACGATGCCCCAGGCCCCCTCGAGGCACCAGACCAGCGCCGCAGGCGCTGCGAGCCCATTCCAGCGGGGGCCCAGGGTTAGCTGCGTCGGCCGGCTGTGCATCGAGCATCACAAGCATCACGATCGGTCGGGCGGCTGGCTCCTGTCCCCCAAGCCCGCCTGGGATTCCCGCGGCCGCAGGCACGGCGCGCCTTTTCTCCTGCAGCGTCCGGGGTTTGGGGTTTCGAGGCAGTGCATGGGTCATGACGAGTCCCCAGGCAGAGTTGTGGCGTACGAAAACCTCAGAGAGCCCATGTTAGAGGCAGAAGGGCCCAAGCCCAGACCGCAAACCCACACAGGGGGCCCGGCATCCGCATTCGCTGTGCGGCGCCGCAGCCCCGAAACGAAAAGCCGGGCAGAGCGGGCCCAGTAGCGAAAAGGCAGTCTCGCGTGACAAGGCTTAAGGTTTGACCCAGCCGCGGCTGCGCAGCGCGCGAAGCGGCAACCGCCAGCCGCACAAGGGTCGCCGACGTCCGCACGCGGGCGGCGCCAAAGGGCGAAGCTGTGAGTGGCGCGGCGCGGGGGCCACCTCCTCACATCACTGCTGGCTGGACGCGGCCAGAGGCGTGCGCCTAGTGGAGCAGTGGCAAACACGCAGGCACAAAAGACACAGAGGAGAGGAGCAGGGCACGGGTTCAAGAGAAAAAGCGGAGGGATAGGATATCAAGTTTGAATAGAGAGAGAGCGCCAGCCGTGCACTGGCCCTCACAGAGGGAAGGGGGGCCGATAGTGCTTACGCCGCCGATGCTGCGCTGGCGGCCGCAGCAACGCTCCGGCCCTGCGATCGCATGGATGACCACACGAGCAGGTTTGACCACGGGCGCGACGCGGGCGTCAGGATAGTGGCGCCACGCGAATGCCTGCAAAGGCTGTCTCCCAATTCATGCAGCGAGTGGGGGTTGGAGTTTTGTCGGTCAGCCGCACGCATGGGGGATTGACAATTCGCCACAGCAGCGGCGGCCTGGGGAAATTCCGCAGGCGTGCCCTGCAAATGCATACGATCATGGTAGGGAGAGGACGTGTCCAGTAAAATGGACCGCAACTCACAGTAATGCGTCGCAATGCACACTGAAATAACCAGCCCGAAGCCAGGAGGCAGGGCAGGGCAAAGGGGCGCAGCGGCCGAAGGAAACCCAAGCGGCGAAGGGCTGAGCGGTTCAAAGAGCCCGGGCCGCCCACAATGGGCTGTGCGCATGGCGCGCGCCTCAGGAGAGTAAGCAGCAAAGAGAGGAGCGCTTCCACCCCGACGCCATGGCTGCCGTCGATGCGCACGAGCGGCGAGGGGCGGGCCCCCTGGAAGCACCTTCCTAAGAGCCTAACGAGGCGCGGCCCTGTGCCTGCCGCAGCCTGTGGCTGCTTCAAGGAACTTCTCAGCGGGTGTGGTCACGCGCAAGGGGACATTTTGCGCGCAAGGCCAGCCCATGAATAGCAAGCTCGTAACTGAGCCTGTGCATTTGCACCCCCAAAAAACATGGCGAGCTCGAGGCCGGCCTGTCATCATCGCAAACATCATTGGGCAAAGCAGCCCTGACCGCACACCCCGACAGGACACTTCAGGGGCAAGCAGCTGCCCAGCCAAGGAGGCCGGGGGTCGGCTGGGAGCCCCCACGCCTGGGTGTCAGCCCTCGGATGTGGCGACCGGCTCCGCCGCGCCCTGGGCGCCGAGCGACAAGGACTGCTGCATGAGGGCTGTCAAGAACGCGTCTTGCTCCGTCGCCGCCACGGCCGCCGCGGCGGCAGCGACCGCGGCCTGCGACTCTCCGCCACCCCCACCTCCGCCGCCGCCGCCGAGCGCGCTGGGCAGGGAGCGCTGGCGCGTGAGGGAGGGCGAGGTTGACTTGGAAGAAAGTGACAGCGAGAGCGACGCCGCCTGCTGCTGCAGCTCCTGGATCTGCTGCTGCAGCAGCTCTGACGCCTGCTCCTGGGCCTGCTGCCGAGCGGCGGCGGCGGCTGTGCCGGACGGCGGCAGGCGCGGCTGCTGGCCGCCGCTGCCCATCCGGGCGAGCGCCTGCTGCTGCTGCTGCTGCTGCTGCTGCTGCTGGTGCTGTTGGTGCTGCGGCTGCTGGTGCTGGTTCTGCTGGTGGTGGTAGTGTTGCTGGTGTTGCTGATGTTGCAGGTGCTGCTGCTGCTGCTGGTGCTGGTGCTGCTGTTGCTGGTTGTGGTGGTGGTGTTGCTGCTGCTGAGCGATGTCACCGCTGTGCTGCTGCTGGTGCTGGTGATGCTGCTGCACCAACATGACGCCGCCGCCCCCGGCCACTTGCATGCCGCCGCCTGACCACGCCGTGTAACCATATGGCGCGCCGCCGCCGCCGCCGCCATAAGCGCCAGATGGGTCCGACAGCATAAGCATACCCCCATGTCCCACCAAGCCGCCCTGCAGCCCCAGGCCCGCCTGCGCCTGGACGCCTGCCAGGCCACCGCCAGTCGCGCCTGGAGGCAGCGCTTGAACCATCATCATCTGCGCGGAGCCGCCGCCGCCCGCCCCGCCGCCGCCGCCAGGGGTTCCCTGAACGTACGCAAGGCCCATCCCTCCTCCGCCGCCGCTGCCGGGCGCGGGGCCGCCGCCAGGGGCGACCAACATGACGCCGGCCCCGTACCCCTGAGGCACGCCCCCTGGCTGGCGCCCGCCGCCTGGCATGCCCCCGTAAGTAAGGAACGTTTGCGCACCCGAGCTGCCGCCGCCACCGCCGCCCTGCACGGGCCCATATGCATGCGCCATGCCGCCGCCGACCAGACCCCCGCCGCCGCCGCCGCCTGCCATCATGAGGGCGGCGCTCCGCGCCGCAGCGGCCCGCTTTGCTCCAAGTTTGAGGGATGCACCGGTGCTCCAGCAGAGCTCGGCGGGCGGAAGGTCGGGGGGCAGCGGCCGCAGCTCGCCGCCGTGGTGGGCGAAGAAGCAGACCGGACGCGTGCAGCTTGGGCCATACTGGCAAATCTCGGTCCGGAAGCTGCAGGGGTGGCGTAGAAGAGGCTGTTGAGGCCGTGTGGTGCGGCATGGCAGACTGCTGCGGTGATGCAGGGAGGCCAGCTGATGGCAGGCGCGGCAAAGCAGCAGCGGACCGCGATGTGTGTGGCAAGACTGCCTCAAACCCTGGTCCTCAGAATGAAGGCGACCCACCGCTCTGGGTGCAGCCAGTACTCAAAAAGGTTGTGAGCATTCAGGCACTGCGGGTTGTGGCAGGGTCGGGTGAGGAGGGCGGTGGTCGTGGGGCCACGACGGCCAGCTGTGTGGTGGTCGCAGGGGGGCGTCGGCCGCCCGGGTGCGGCATGCAGCAACCTCACTTAGGCTTTGAAACCTGTGGACCTGCGACAGCGCCTACCATGCCGCCATGGCGGTTACGAGGGGCATTGGCTCCGTGACGGACGACTCACCTGGTCGCCGTCAGGGCAGGGCAGCTTCTTCTTAGCGTAGGGGCACGCTATGGATCGGTAAGGCACCGACCGCAGGTCTCTGCGCGCCGCGCGCTCGCCCTGGTGACCGCATGGGCATGCAGCCCAGTCATGGGCAAATTGTTTTGGGCACGGGTCGACCTGTGAAGAGCGGGAAACAGGCGTAGGAGACCAAGGCCCAGCAAGGGGAGGGGGGTAGGGCAGAGGCTCAAATGGCTTGCATGGGGCACCCCACAGCGCAGCATGTGGCGGGTGGCCCCAAGCGCCGACTGCGAGGGACGCAAAGCAGCCAGCATGCGGTCATGCCTAAGTCCACGAAGCAACCGACTTTGATTCCATCCCAGTGCTGCCCCTGCGCGCCTTATAGTGCAGACACAGGAACTCCGGGTCGCACGCGTAGCTGGGCGGCGTGTCCCGCAGCTGCCCGGCATACATTCCGTACCAAATAAGTTAAACACCGCACGACCCGACCAGTAGCTGTGTGATGCGCGATCTGTGGGCAATGCGGCCAGTACTGCTTGCTTGCCGCCTCAACAACAAATACAAAAAGAGCAAGAGATTTCATCTAACTGAGGGAATGGGGCACGAGCGGCTGTGCGTCCAACCTTGTTGCCTCGTGTTTATTTGATCATTCAAGCGAAGGGTGACTGGGCGACCTGGCCCGCCCCATCACGCCCTCGTGTCTCCTTCAACATAAAATAATTCCACTTGCCAAAATGGGGTGGACGCATGTAGGTGACACCCTGCTTGCGGCGGCGTCACCTGCAGCAGCCGTTGCCCCGGGTTTGACTCGGTGTATGTGGACCGACGCAACATGGCCTTTGGGCATTCTTCGCGGGCATGTGTTCTTATGAATGTTTCAAAATCCCTGGCAGAGCAGTTTTGCGTGCAGTAAAGCAGGCGTTGGCTGCATCGACACTGCATTATTAATCCGTTACGTTGTTGATGTCTTGGCAGTGCATGGAGCAAACACCATCATCAATGAAACGCATGGGATCGTGCTAGCTTGCCTTTTGTTGTGGCTTCATGGTCAAGGCTCATGAGATGGGGGGTTTCCCTCTGGAAGGCGCTTGACGCCTGGGTTGACGCAGGGCCATGCTGTGACCACCTGGCTGTGACGGCACGGGTGTGGCACAGGGTGTGGCTGCGATGCTGCTTTTCGAGCTTTGTCATCGCCGCCATGTGGTCGATCGGATGTGATTGTGGTGGCACACACTGTTGCCAAACCTTCAAAAGGGTGATTCGTCATACAAATCCTGGTGGAACGGGTGGGGCAGGCATACCCCACTCGCTTTTAGCTCCTCTGCTGCTAGCTGCGTGCCACGCACCGCTCATGGTGTTACAGTGACGGCCGACTACGACTCCAAGGTAGTTGAGGTATACTTCTATTCCGAACCAAGACCTTGCAGGCAAGGGGAGCTCTCAGCTCAGGTGCATGCACGCAACGATGCAAGCTGCAACACAACGCCGGCCACGTCACTCTTGCAGTGACGAGTGCCGCAACACCTGCACAACTGGGTTCGGTACTGTACAGTACTGCAATGTAAGAAGACAATTCTTCGTTTTTTCTCACTCTCAAACTGCGATCCTTGCAATTTTACGTGATCTGTGGACGGCGTCCCACCCGGCACCGAGAGCAGCTCTCCAGCGCACAGCAACATGCCGTTTGGGCAGTTATTGATTGGGCCGCCGGGCAGCGGCAAGACCACGTTTTGTAACGGCGTGCAGCAGTACTTGCGCGCGGCGCGACGCCATGTCGTGCTGCTCAACCTGGACCCTGCGAATGATGTGCTGCCCTACGAGCCTGATATTGATGTGTGTGACCTAGTTTGCCTGGAGCAGGTCATGGCGGAGCTTGGCCTAGGGCCAAACGGAGGTGTGACTGAGCGCCTGGGTTGGTTTGGGGCTCTTCGTCGCGGCAGCGGTCAAGAAACGTCGAAGCGCATGCAACAGGCCGGTGCAGGGGTCATACCTCGAACACGAGACGGCTGCTGGCAGGACTTCTGTTCCTATACTTCAAACCGGCCCGTCCGCTTGCAGTTACCGAACGCGAGCGGCTGGCCCGTCATCCGCTCCATGGCGCGAACCTCACCGCCCGGTGTGCGCAAGCAACAGATGGCAGCTGGCCCATGCTGCAATCCCACCAGGCCTCGTGTACTGCATCGAGTACCTGGAGAAAAATGTTGACTGGCTGCTGGAGAAGCTGCAGCCGTACGAGGAAGCCGGAGCCTACATTGTAATCGACTGCCCTGGCCAGGTGGGTGTGGATGAGCGCATTTGCTCGCGCTCGCGCTCGCCTTCGCGCGTTTTTGAACACGCAGCACCCATGTGGACTGCCATATGTGCGTGTGTCTGTAGAGGAGTGTGCTTTTGTGCGCATGTGCATTTGGTCGCATGCGTGTGTGTGGCCGTGTGTGCATGTGCGTGCTTAGTCTGATGAACAGCATCGACGTAGGCGACCGAAAGGAGGTATGGGTGCAGGCTAAAGGATGCAGCTTTATTGCAGCCGTACCTGCTGCAGCTGTCAAGAGCGGTGGGCCGCCCTGCCGGAGAACCCCTCAGCTTTGTGAAAGAATCTTGCATGTGCCCAGAAATGCTTGCGTGTCCCTTGCCGCTTGTCATTTACGGCGGCGCGACAAGGAGGCCGCGCAGGCGTGCTTGTCTCCATCGCTTCCCCCAACCGGTGCCAGTCGTTGGGATACCAGCCTCAGTGAGCCGTCACCTATCTGCGCGATATGCATTCAACCCCCAGGTGGAGCTCTTCACGCAGCACGGCAGCCTGCGGCGCGTCCTAGACCTGCTCTCCAAGCAGCGGGGCTACCGGCTGGCTGCGGTGCATCTCGTGGACGCCCACCTCTGCACTGAGCCCTCAAAGTGGGCGCATGGCGTCCCCGGCTCCCTGCCCCACTTACGGCGCCTTGCCTGCCCCATGCATGGGCTGCTGGCGCCCCGCTGCACTCACGTGGGGTCGCCGCGTAGCATCGGGTCGTCCTGTCTCCTCGCACACTGCGCCGTCGACTTTCGGGTGCTGCCGCCACCACCAGCGGTGCATCCGGCCCCGCCGAAGCGCCGCACGCCTCTGTCGCGCTTTCCTTGCGTTGAGACGCGTCTCGGTCCACGTGTCAAGCCTCACATCCGCATGCCTGCCGCCAACCCCCAACCGACCCCGCCGCCAGGTACATCGCCGCGCTGCTGCTGTCGCTGAGTGCGATGCTGCACCTTGAGCTGCCCCACGTCAACGTGCTCTCCAAGGTCGACCTCATCCGCCAGTATGGAAGGCTGGGTGCGTCGCCGGCCCGCCTTTGCTCTGCGACTGTGCGCTTCGCATGCAAGGCGTGCCGAGCAGCGGTGCCTGTGCTGCCGCAGCAGTAGGCGCCAAGGCGGGGGGTGTCTTCTTGGAGAGGCGCCTGCCATCCAATGCAGGAGCGCCAGGCGCAGCATGCCGGCCCTCCCCCATCACCAGCTGTTGCACGTCCCCTGCCTTTTTTCACCCCAAGCCCCAGCTTCCCCGGCCCCAACCCGCAGCTTCCCCCGCCCCACCTGTTCCCCTGATAACACGAATGGCCCTGTTGGCTGGGTCCCTCTTGGCACCCAACGCGATTACCCCCATCCCCACTTGCCCCAATTTCACAGACTTTTCGCTAGACTTTTACACAGAGGTGCAGGACCTGTCATACCTGGTACGCGGCATGGGCAACGACCGCTTCGGCGCCAAGCACAGGTGCGCTGAGTGCCTCAATATGCATGCATCTCGCTGCGACAGTGGCGGCAGTCTTTGTGAGGGGGGGGGGGGCATGGGCCGCATGTGGCCTCGTATGCACCTCCGTTTGTGCTCAGCCTCTGGCATGCATGAGGCAAGGCTCTTTTGTTTCATTCCATCATCAGGGAGTTGTTTCACCATACCGCAACCCACCAGGAAGCTGAGCCGTGAGCTGTGTGAGCTGGTGCAGGACTTTGGGCTGGTCAGCTTCCTACCACTCGCCATTGAGGTGTGAAATTGTGGTGTATGCACTCACACTTCCATGGGGTTGACTGCGTCCGGCCCGCATGGAAGCGTGATTGACACCCACTCTACTTCGCGAGTTGCCACACGTGCCACCTGGCATGTCGTTTGGTTTTTCAGGCATTCAACCTCCTCACTTGTGATCAACCCCGCCCTCCCAGACCCTCTGATCCAACATGTGATCCCTGTTAATTGCGCCTTTAATTTTCCTCGTCTTTCTCAGGACAAGGCATCCCTCCAGGCGGTGCTGCAGCAAGTGGACAAGGCCAACGGCGCTCTCTACGCGTCACTGGCAAACCCACAGCTGGGTCTCCCGCCAGAGCTCCTCTATGGCGCAGCGCACAGGTTTGGCACAATTCGACCTTGGGTGCGAGCTGCTGTCTCGTTGGGACCACAATCCACCAGGGATTTCAGAGGGGTTGTGTGGGGTGGGCTGCAGGGCACCGAGGGCGCGGGCGAGCCCAGGTCGCGTTGAGGTCGGGGCCGTCGCTGCCCATTATGGCTCTGATGGCGGTCAGGCGCTGAGGCGCGCGGTGGCTCGCTGGCTCCTGCAGGGCGGAGGACGACGAGCTGGCGAGGGCGATGCAAGAGAAGTACATCGACGCGCCGGCGCGCCGTGGCGGGGAGGAGGGGCAGCGGGCAGGCGCGCTCCTGCCGGAGGGCGCAGCGCCAGTGGCAGAGGAGGGTGGGCGGGGGCAAGGGCTGGTCGTTGTTGAGCGGCAACAGCAGCAGCAGCAGCAGCAGCAGCAGCAGCAGCAGCAGCAGCAGCAGCGGCATCATGACCTGCATGCACAGGGGCACAGCGAGTCACAGGCGGACGACACTGAACGCCCGGGGTCAAGCGGGACCATCGGACAAGTGACCGGATGCAGCAAGGGCGGGCAGGGCCACCTGCCTGCGGGGCAGCAGCAGTCTGCGTGTGTGGTGCTTGAGAGCCCGGCGGCGGCAGGAGGCTCGGCGGCGGCAGGAGGCGCAGTGCGGGCTGGGGCAGGGCAGCTGCGGGAACAGCTGCAAGCTTGTGACGGTGGGGAAGGCACGTAAGCTGTTCACATGCTGTAAAACCAACATGAAAATCGCGAGATGTCAGTGCTGCTACTCAATCATGTGAGATCATGTGAGAAGTCAAGGCAAGGTCGATATCATGGTCATGTCTCAATTTCCTGCCGTGTGTGAGAACGTCGGGTTTGTGGTGCACAGGGTACTGTCGAGGGCTCAAGGTTGTACTCACGCGTTTTTGAAGGGGTTGTCCATGCCACACGTGGTGGTGCAGTTGCGCCACTCTCAATCCTTGGGAATATGGAGGGCAGCTCAGCAGCTGTCAACCCACTTTCGAACGGCGCAGGCGTGCGATTTGACGTGGTGGCAATCTCTTTGTGTACATCCAGAGAGTCTGTGCAGTGCATAATATGTGTTCCGGGATACGAGCACAACCCCAAATGAGGCATTTCATCACTGATTTCTGGACCCGCGCGCACCCAATACCGCCGCTTGGGACAACCGTGTCAGCCCGATGCCTGGCAGACAACGTCAAGCCAGCGCGTGCGTGCATGTGCGATTGCAGGCGCACCAGCAGTCCCCGCACCTGATTTGCAGCGCACCATTGCTGCCCGTACCTGCTGTCCTGAACCTCAAGTGCCCCAGACGTGTGTGCATGGAAGCTGGCAGGGATGGCTGCACCAGGAGGGTCGTCATAAGTGGAATGTCATCTGCGCTCATTGATGCCAGGTGGTCTGGCAGCGGTGAACAGTCATGTCCCCATGCAGCAAACCATGAGCTCCAACTCATCTCGATGTGCTTGGGCGCGTCCGCCGTGCATCCTTCGCTGCTCTACACCAAGCAGCTGCATGCACATTATGATAGCAGCCACCCTTCAACAGCACCTTCCAAAACAGCACACAGACTGAGAGGCATATTATGGCGTGGCAGGTGCAAACGGCTGCCCTAAGGGTCGAGGCAGCATCCTGCCACTGCTGCAGCAGACTTCCAGGCTGCGTTGCAACCCTCTGCCCTGGCGTGCACACCTGCACGTTTGCGCCCCCTTTATACCCTTGGTCTATGCTAAGTTAGTACGGTGGCCCCATATCATGTTTCGTGATAGCACTACACATGCATGAAGTATGCTACAGTACCAGGACCTTGCACGCCAGCAAGGTTGTGCCACACTGCAGCAGCCAAGCAAAGCTGGCATGCAGGCGCTGCGCGCCTGCGACCTTCCCATTTCCGCGCTGTTGCGCGCTTGCCAGCCAATGTGACCTTATGTGCATACAGTCCTTGCAGTGCGAAGGGCTTGGACCCTTGTGACACAGCATTACTGAAACCTTAGCATTACCTAAATCACGGTCACGACGTGCGCCTCGCTGCATGCTTGCGACTTCGGTGATTTCTCTTGTAGTATTTTCCGTTCGTTGTTGCAGTTTGAACAGGTATCCAAGAGCGTTCCTGTTGCTGCTGGGACGCCCGCGGGGTCGGAACGGTACCATGAATCGCCACTTTCTGGCCCGGCCTGCCCGCAGCCCGCTTGGGGCGGGGCAGCTTCGCTCGGCCAGCGGCCCGCGGGCCCCGCCACGCCCCCTGCTGTGTAAGCGCGCGTCGCACCCTCGGGCGG